AGAGAGAGAGAGAGAGAGAGAGAGAGAGAGAGAGAGAGAGAGAGAGAGAGAGAGAATCAAAATATCTGCAGTGCTTGGCAAATAAAAAATAAAAAAGTAGAGTTGCAAGTCCACTTAAAATAAAAGACAGAGCTTTGGTCTCAATGTCACTACCACCATTTTGACTTTTTTGGACCATCTCCTGCAGACATCCCTGTTTGGAATCAGAGTTGAGGAGACTAAGAAATGGAAACAGACTGATGGAACCTGAGCGGCAGCATGAAGCTTTAGGAGACCCCTGTGTCTTGGCCATACTCCCGTAGCCCATCCTTCCCCTTCCACTGAGAAAAACCAGTGAAGTCTTAATGGTTCCAGTGGGCCAAGGGTGACATCAACAGAGCCCCTGGAGAGCAGTTGGGTCCATAGAAGTAGAAAGGCCTATCTAGGCAAGCCAGCTCTTGCTTTGGGCCATGGGTCTTCAAACATGGCCCTTTTAAGATTTGTGGACTTCAACTCCCAGAATTCCTCAGCCAGCTATGCCAAGTTTGAAGACCCCTGGTTTGGGCCATGGAGAGCCAGAGGTCCAATGACTGCCTAGATACCTTCTCAAATCGTGCTTGAATGAGGTTGGCCTTGTCAACGAGACGATGCTTGAAATCATTCAGGCAATCTTCTTTCAGGCGCAAAGCGAGCCACTTGGACATCTTCTCAATGCCTCCCACCTGAATCAGGAAGGGCGCCAGGTAGTCCAGCTCCTGCTCCACCTGGCGCTGGCGTTCCTCTTGCTGTTGTCGCTCCTGCAGAGGAAGGGGACAGACCAATATGCTTGATGGGGAGCTGACAGCCCCACTGGATGGACCAGACCAGGAAGGAAGGATATCATGGCGACTTCTTGCTACATCCAGCCCTTGTGCCCTAGTTCTTCTGACCTTCTCAAGAACCTTGGGATGACAATTAAGATGCTAAGAATTCCCATAATTCAACCCCTGATTCCTTGCTAGTTTTGATCATTTCCAAGGAGGAGGAAACGGCCCATAAATGCTGTGTAGGTCGATCCCAAAGAACCTCCAGCTTACTATGGTTTCACGATGTTCTTTACTCTTCTCGTTCCTTTCCGTGTCATAAATGGAGACGCTCAACTTGCTAGCAGCCTCTTCCTCTCCTCGAATCCGCAGAAGGTCCAGGACCTTTGATGGCATGGAGATATCAGAGAGAGAATCATAGAAGGTTGACCACAGAAGGCACCCCAAGGACCATCGCATTCAACCGCTGCAGGTGCAGCAAAACCAATTTGTCAAGCTGGCCCGACTAGGGACTTAGGAAAGAAAGACCCTCGACTCCATGATTGAAGTGAAAGGTTAACTTTTACTAAGGTCGAGCAGTTACAGCAAAAGCAAAGCTGGATTTGAATATTCCCACGCAAAGCCGATGGCTTTCCCCTCTTCCTCAGCCCCCTCCCCCTGAACAGTCCACCCGTGTCCAATCCCATTCCTTTCCGATGTTTTGGGTTCGGGTTATGTGTTGGGAACAGCTCCGAGGTTCAACTTGGAAAGTTGCCAACTTGGCAACTGTAAGACTTGTGGACTTCAACTCCCAGAATTCTCCAGCCAGCGTCGATCTTTAAAGCTTGTGGACTTAAAATTGCCAAGTTTGTAGACCCCTGTGCTAAAATATTACACATTAGAGGTGGGGGGGGGAGTGGGATAGGGAAGGCATATGGTTTGAAAGAATGAACGATCAAAAGAAGTTCAGGATTATAGACGCCTTCTTGGGGAAACAGGAACTAACATCAAGGGGTAATTAAGAGAGAAGCTCTAAATGAATAGAATAGCGCTGGAAGGGACCTTGGAGGTCTTCTAGTCCAGCCCCCTGTTCAAGCAGGAGAACCTATACTATTTCAGACAACTGACTGTCTAGTCCAGGGGTAGGCAACCTTGGCTCTTTTATGACTGGTGGACTTCAACCCCCAGAATTCCTGAGCCAGCCAAGTTGAGGGGAAAGGGAGAGGTTTCCAAGCTGAGCCATGCTGGCTGAGGAATTCTGGGAGTTGAAGTCCACGAGTCATGAAGGGGCCATAGTTCCCCCATGCTGGCTCAGGAATTCTGGGAGTTGAAGTCCACCAGTCATAAAAGAGCCGAGGTTGCCTACCCCTGGTCTAGTGGGTCTCTTCTTAAAAACCTCCAGTGATGGAGTGTCCATGATGAAGCAACGAGCAATTACTTCTCTGTGTACGTGTGCAAGCACAGGGTAGCCAGGAAAATGGGTCAGGGTGCATTCAACCAGAGGGCAGGACTTCATAGACCCCCCACCCACCACCGCCAATAAATAAAAATATCTCCCCCTCCCCAGTACCTCTATCTCAGATTCCCACACTTGATGCCGGGAACGCTTCTCATCTTCCATTAGCTGTATCAGCATTTCATAGAGATGGAACAACTTTTTTTCTTTCTCCACAGGCCCCGCCTGAGAACAAAGGAGCCCAAGAGCAGATTTATGAACCCTGAACTGAGATTCAAAGGAGATTCAAAGGAACCGAGTCAGAACGTTGGCCGATGGGGGAGAACAACCCACTCAGTGCTCCTGAGATCGTTGGACGGTTGTCTCCTTTCTGTGTGTGTTTTAAAAAATATTTCCAGAAATGACCCCCATGTTTATAGTCCATCTGATCATGAAATGTATACAGGTAGTCCTCGACTTACAACCACAGTTGAGTTGTTCAGTGAGTTTTGCTCCATTTGCTCTCATGTGATCCTGAGACACGGCAACCGTCATAAATGCGAGTCAGTGGCCAAGCATCCGGATTTTCAAACAGTATCCACGGGGATACTATGAGGGTCGTAAGTGTGAAAAACGGTCATAAGTCACATTTTCGGTGATGTTGTAACTTTGAAAGGTCAGTAAACCAACTGTTGTAAGTCAAGGACTACTCATAGGTTTAGTCAGTCTCCAACAGTGGCCTGAGGGAGCTCTTAACTGACCCATCAGGAATCCCATCAACCCACATTATTTGCCGAAGAGAATTCAGCTCCCTGGTTCTAAGTGACGGATACTCAACCAGAAAGTCTATTTATGTCTTGCAACCGTTCATTTAAGTCCCATTTAAGGCCATGGGTTGGATTCACCGTGACCTGCAGGTACCATATCCTTCATTTACCTGATAACTGATGCACATATCCCGGCTCATGATAACCTTATTTCCCTTGCTGTCCACATCGGAACGCTTATTAAACTCCCTCCTGGAAGGGGTGATGTAATTCTCGTTGCAATGATAGGTCAAAAGGATCTTATCCTCTGAGATCCAAAAAATGCGTTCGGCCACATCTTCATCAGCCGGCTTGCTTGGGTTCCTGTGGAATCTCTCGGTGATTTTCTAGAAAGTATACAAGCAGGAGAGGACAGAGTAGTATCGAACTCCTGACTGCCAATATTTTGCAATGAGTTGGTTGGGATGGGCCATAGAGAGGTAGATAGCTATGCTGGTATTTGGGCACAAATACTAGCTAGCAATTAAAATCGCATGAAGTATTAGTACGGCTTTATAAAGCCTGCATAAGGCTACACCTGGAATGCTGCATCCAGTTTTGGTCACCAGATTACAAAAAAGATGTTGAGACTTTGAGAAAAGTGCAAAGAAGAGCAACTCAGATGATCAAAGGTCTGGAGACTAAAACATATGAAGAACAGTGGCAGGATTTGGGAATGGCCAGTCTAGGAAAAGGTGGACTGAGGGGGACAATTAGAATAGAATAGAATAGAATAGAATAGAATAGAATAGAATAGAATAGAATAGAATAGAATAGAATTACGGGATAGAATGGAAATAGAATAGAATAGAATAGAATAGAATAGAATAGAATAGAATAGAATAGAATAGAATAGAATGAGACCTTGGTGGTCTTCTAGTCCAGCCCCCTGCTCGAGCAGGAGAACCTATACCATTTCAGACAAGTGACTGTCTAAAGAGAGTCAACTTAGAGTTTGGGTAGATCTTCAACCGAAGCTGGTAAGATGCTCCTATTCAGATTAACCCGCCTCTATTGTGGATTAAATCTGCTCAGAAGAAACTTGCATATCCACAGCAATCCATTTAGATGGAACTGGAAATCTATGACAATAATACCCCTCCTCAAAAGACCCCTTCCCAAAAGCTTTCTATTGGGGGTTTCCTACCTTCTAAGTTTTGTCTCTGGAGGACTACGGGACATCAACCGAATACTGCCAATGGTGGCCGTTCTTACCAAAATTGGTCGGGCATTGCTTTCGGTGGTAGCCATTTTCTTGGTAGGTTTCTTGATTCTTTTGCCAAACTCGGTGTGACGGTAACTGAGGAAATCTAAGCGACCTTCAAAATACTCTGCCATCTCTTGGGAAGTTTCTGAGCGTTTCTGAAGGCCATCCACCCGTGTCTCATTGTAGAACTCCATCGTGCGCTCGGTCTCCGGTTCCATGGTCTTGTACATATGTGCTGGGAAAGCAAAGAGAGGTCCAGGATGGAATCTCCAGTTAGGGAGTGTAGAGAAGAGCTGATGAGATGGCTCTCCATCCTTCTTAGATAGATAGATAGATAGATAGATAGATAGATAGATAGATAGATAGATAGATAGATAGATAGATAGATAGATAGATAGATAGATAGATAGATAGATGATAGATAGATAGATAGATAGATAGATAGATAGATAGATAGATAGATAGATAGATAGATAGATAGATAGATAGGATGGAATGAATATTGCCCAATCTAGAGACAGTCAGTTTTTGTTCCCTTGCCAAGAATCAAGGCCCTTTGTTGTACCAGATACCTTTCAGTCCCAGGGCATGTCCAGGCAGGAATTGCTCTGCTATGATGTTGGTTTGCTTATTTAATTCTCGAATGTCCAACTTGTCTTCACGGTATTTGAACCACTCTTTCACTTCAAGCACCTTGGTACCTGAAGAAGGAAAGAGAAGAAGAACAGCTGGTGGTAGGCCCAAGAGGGTTGAGGCCATCCAGAAATGAAAGAAAGAAAGAATGTATAAAGTTCCTCCAATTTCTGAAGGAACAGAAGTTGCCTTCAGAAATTGTGGGAGCTTCATCACGGGAAGCTTTCAAGAAGAGACTGGACTGCCATCTGTCAGAAATGGTGTAGAGTCTCCTGCTTGGGTGGGGGGGGCTGGACTAGATGACCTACAAGGTCCCTTCCAACTCTGTTATTCTATTCTATTCTCTCTGGGATCTTCAATTTTAAATCTACTTACAGTCTGGATCTTCATACAGCGTGAGTCGGGTGACTAGGCCATTGGCGTTAAGGTATGGTGCCCATTTTTCCAACTTGGCATTCTTATACTGAATCAGTTTCTTGCCTTGTGGACAACGAGCCTCAAATTCTAGAGAGAAGAGCAGAGAAGACTTTATACGTGGTGAGAATAAGAAAATGAAATTCTCCAAATATTGATGGAATTACAATTTCTTTCTTTCCTGACTATCAACAGCCTGATGGTTAACCGATAGTTAACTGCAGATTTTGCTGATCTGTTAGCTACCTGCAGACTGAGCTGCACTTTGGGTGCCTGATTGACCCGAAATAATTGATGGACTGATGGGGCTGGGTAGCTACTTGCCAGGTTGATTGCATGCATGGACTTCACGTTGAACTTTTCTACCTTACTATAACTACGCTCAACTCTCTTTTAACCCAATCCCTCCTTTGCCTCCAAAATCCTAAACTACCCTAACCCTCACCCTGAGCCTTCCCTTCCTGAAACCACGAGTGGAATCTGATAGCTGAGCTCAACTTGATGACTTTCTTCTCAGCTTCTCCTCAGATTTCTAAAGTCTCCTTCTTAATTTGCAGGCAAGCTATCTCAAAGAGGAGGAGGAGGAGGAGGAGGAGCTAGTTATGTGCGCCCTGCAATAATAGGCTATTTGTTACAAACTGGTCCTTTCTGAGAGGTTAGATAATATTGCTATCATTTCCTCACCAAGCTTGCCTACTGGAGACACATCAAGATTGGGAAACACCCCCCCCCCCAAGGATACCTTTGGGAGATACATGGATCTGTTCCACCCAAGATGCAGGCATGTCAAAACTCTTCGATTCTTCTTCCTTCATCTACCAGGATGCAATAAATAAAGCTGTGAGAATGCTCATCTACCAAGGTCCATGTTATTTAACTCCTGCTCTGCATTTGACAGTCTGTTCTGTTCTGTTCCGTTCCGTTCCATTCCGTCCCATCCCGTCCCGTCCCGTTCCATCCCATATTCTCTTCTCTTCTCTTCTCTTCTCTTCTCTTCTCTTCTCTTCTCTTCTCTTCTATTCTATTCTATTCTATTCTATTCTATTCTATTTTATTCTATTATCCCTATTCTATTCTTTGATATTATATAAACAACTTTATAAAGTTTATTAAGAAAAACTGATCAAGGTTAGGCTTAGGCTAAGTTGCTTAGTTGACTGAATAAACTTAGTATGATGTGTGCAGACAGCAATTAGTTTTGTAAGTGATCTGGGCCACTGGATTGCACAAACTCAGCAGCCAAACAGTTAATATTGGGGGGGCGCATGTGGTCATCCCTTACCAAATCTTCCACATCATCCTCACCCAGATCCTCCTCCTCCTCCATTTCTGGCAGGGACAAGAAAGGTTTGTCGGTGCTGGGAAGCATGAATTCCCACCGCACAGGGTCCCCGAGATCAAACTGAAGATCCTAGAAAATCAACAGATCCAAGTGAATTCGCTGCAAGAAACGGTTCTGCTCAGAGGGAATCTTACGTACGTCAACTGACACAGTTCTTTACAAAATTACTAATTTGCAGCCTCCAAAATCCTTTAAAACTACACAAACATCAGAATTAATTATATTTCAAATTGCAAACACACACACACGCCAACACACAAAACTCAATTAACACAATGTAAACATAATTATAACGCTGACCGTTCAAACGAAGAGACTCAACCCACATCACTTGATTTAATCAACCCCTTCTCTGGGGTCCGCATGTACATTTGCCCACCCCTCTCAAGGGTCATCCTAGAATCAGCACGCAGACACTTCTACAACCAGGACCAGCTCCCTTATAGAACAATGTCGCTGTACCCATTTTTTCTGCAGCTGCCCCCAAAGCAAATCTCTTTGGTTTGGGGAATAAATATTTCTTCTGTCCTCACAGCTGTCTGCACGTCATTTTTATTTATTCTTGCACAATTCCGGCTCAAGTTAGAACCCCGAATTATTCTTCTGAGAGTCTCCTGCTTTGAACAGGGAGTCAGACTAGAAGACCTCCAAGATCCCTTCCAGCCTTATGATTCTGTGTTCTAGGTTCTATGGGTTGAAACTAAAAAGAAGCTTGAGATTCCTCCGAGTAGGAAGGCCCAGCCAGACTCTTACCTTGCAGCCATTCCAGCAATCCTGCATGTTGATCCAATAATTCCGATGGTTCCACAGACACTCGATACCCAGGAAGTGATCATCAGCAGGGCCGTAGCTCTTTCCAGTGAAAGGGTCAATAAAAAAACTTTCGGGCACTTCCCGCTTGCCGGAGAGAACGAGCACCCAGGCGTGGACCCGGAGACCCTGTAGACGGTCCGGCTTCGGCTTCTCCTCCAGCTGCAGCAGAGAGAGATGGGGGGGGGGGAGGGAGCAGGTCTCTTAGCAGGTTCCAGGTACTGAATGCTTGTTCTGTGCCAAAGGTCTTTCCATGATCTGCAAATACAGGTAGTCCTTGACTTATGACCACAGTTTTGCGACCAGAATTTCCATAGAATAGAATAGAATAGAATAGAATAGAATAGAATAGAATAGAATAGAGTAGAGTAGAGTAGAGTAGAGTAGAGTAGAGTAGAGTAGAGTAGAGAAGAGAATAATAATATAGAATAGAGTAGAGTAGAGTAGAGTAGAGTAGAGTAGAGTAGAGAATAGAATAGAATAGAATAGAATAGAATAGAATAATAATATAGAGTAGAGTAGAGTAGAGTAGAGTAGAGTAGAGTAGAGTAGAGTAGAGTAGAGTAGAGTAGAGTAGAGTAGAGTAGAGTAGAGTAGAACAGAACAGAACAGAATAGAAATTCTTTATTGGCCAAGTGTGATTGGCACACAAGGAATTTGTCCCCAGGTGGTGTCTGTGAATGATCTGCTACGCTTCTAACCAGATTCCTCCAGGGTTGAGCTGTCACCTGTCTCTTGACCTCTTGATGCCTTCCCACAACACTCAAGTCAGCCACCCCAGCCCACAAGTCTCTCCTAAACTACGTACGGCCTTCTTCTCTTCTTCCTCCTTCTGCTTCTTCTCTTCTGCAGCCTGTTCTTTGGTCTGTTGCTTCTCTTCC